ATATTTACCTGAAGAAATAAATTAAACTGTGACCAATATAATTAGCAATGAGGAATTTTAGACTATAATTGTGGGAAGAGCGAACCTGTCGAGGATGATCTGTCTCAGGAGTGGAGAAACAGTCCTCGCTCTCAACACATCGCGTAGATCCCGTTCTCTCCAAATAGTCCACGCCTTGTAAATCATCGCAAGGCATAATGATATCTCAGTGAAGAGAGGAGGCACCCATACAAATCTTTCCCAATGGGGCAAACTGGCAATATAACAGCCTTGCAGCGGAGGAGGGGAGGCACCACCTAAAATAAACATATCACTACTAAGCTAGAATTCTTCAAGTTCTTGGACTTATCGACTTGCCTTTGGCCCGGGATGCATAGTCCACTGCGCCACAGCCTGCGGCACAGATGATGATTGATGCAAGCAAGCATCCGCTAATCTTCCAATTTTGCCCATAAAGTGCATGGATCTATCCGGAACCATACTAAGTATGTGGAGAATAAATATAAATAGATGAGATGTATGCTTACACGACAAAGCAGAATGACTTCTTTGGATAAGTTACTTTGCTCCAAGATAATTGGATACCGACTTACCCTGGCCAACGACAAGAGTCAATACTGCTCTGATGGGATTTGGTTTGTTTTTAGAATACGTGTGAGTGATTATTTCAGGTTTATCGAAACTTACAGTGCAAAATGATACAGAAGCCAATCCGTGCAGCTGAACAACGTTCAATGACATGGTACAGACGTTTATTGACATATGACATACAACTAGGGATTGAGTGAGTATGATATGGATATAAATAATGCATAAGTTCATAGTACCTCAGCAGTGAGACCTGGTTTGAACATGACTGTGAAAATTCCGATTTTAATCCCAGTCTTAGAAAATAGTTCAATGGGGGTATCCCACCTATGACATCTATCGTGACGGCGGCGAACCCGATGTAGCGGTTCTGTGGAGGAAGAATGTCGATAAGCTCTCTCTTTTTTTTCTTAAGGAACAGTGTATAGATACCAGGAGGAACAGTGCCTTCACGAACGTGAATTGACTTTGCCAGATACTCGTGACCTATAATAAAATGTTATGCGAAAGTCACAGAAACAAAAACAGAGAGATTATACCTCGGCCCTAAAAGTGATAGCTAGTTTAAGTATCAGTAACACAATCTCAAAAACGTTACAAGGAGGACCAGCCTACCATAGTCATAAAGCAACAGAGAAAAAGCCGATACTAGTGAATATTGAGTAATCCTAACTGTTAATAAACTATTAAGGTTGTTTTAGACTCGTACTATGCTGTCATAACCTACGAGGACGCACGCCGGCGATAAATGCAGCGACCTGTGGGTCCAATTCCATAACGATTAAAACTCCCGAGGGGGGCGGAAGGGGGAACAAGGGACGAAGACGGCTTTCCTATCTGTAAGGATATAACAAGGTATATATCAGCAAAACAGTCTAGTTCTCCGGCGGCTCCCACTGAATCCAGGCGGCTCTGGAGGGCTCCAGATCACGCAGGAGCTGCCGGAGAACCAGACCGTTTTGCTGATGTACGCTGCACTAGAAGTTATCGTCACCTGGCATACCCTAAAGACCAGTGAGCATTGATGAGGTGGTACCGCGGGTATTCGAAGTTCGAAGTGACTGTTGATGTGATTATCTCTGAAGCGAGAATGACGATGATTTGTTCTTACCATAGAGAAATAGTTTTATTGTGAGTTTCAACAAATCAGCAGTACTATCCGGGTGAAAAGACAGACCAACCTAAAGCATTAAACATTGATTCCGTGTGCTACGTACAGAATCCTCAATTCGGGAATAAACGGCATCCAGCCGAAATTATTCCGAACATCTATTTGGTCCGAATTGAGCTCACTTCTAATTCTGAAGTCAGATATCGATTTATCACTTGCAAAAATAAGTTGAAGCAGTACTGAGGCTAACTGAGGTGAGAGGAATCAGGTCATCCAGGTATATATTGGCATCACTTCATAGATGGGGGTGCCAATATGCTACATACAGAATCTT